ACAACCAAAAGAATTGCTACGAAAATTTCAAAAAAGACCTAACTCAACCTTTAAACATTTGCAGTTTTAAAATATAAATGCTTTGAAGGGATTAAAAACAATTAAATGATCCTACAAAAAAATAAAAAGCAAGAGTTTTAACGTAGATAGGTAGTTTCGAGCATTAAAGAATATTAGAAGAAATAGTCTGTTTTTGTAGAAAACCATTCACTTTAAAAAAATATAAATGAGAAAAGATAATCAAGGAATAAGGAAGTATCACCTTTTCTTTGAATTTTAAAATTATACATATTATAATTTTAAATTATTATTAATAATTTAAAATTATACATATTATAATTTTAAATTATTATTAATAATTTAAAAGGATACATCCGAAGTTGTATGATTGGGAAAAGATACAGCGTTACCTATCAAGTTTATAACCTTGTAAATTGACCACCTGCTTAAGTTGACCATTATTATTTATTTACATGAATAACATCGTGTATATAAATTATATATATAAGTTAAAAATATAGAGTAAACATGAAAAAAAATAAAGATTAATGAAAAGAGAAGAAAAAAGATTATTAAAATAAAATTTTCTAAAAAGTATTAGTATTTTTTAAAAATAATATATTTTATTTTAATAATTTTTTCTTCTCTTTTCATTAATCTTTATTATTTTCCTTATTTTCTCTATATTTTTTTAAACTTATTTTATAAGTTGATACTTGCAGCTTATGCGAAGTAAATAAAACTTATTAATTTTATTCCTTCCTCTCTATGTTCTTTTTCCTTCCTGTCTAATAATTTCTAAAAAATACACAGTAAGGGGTCAACTTGCACAAGCTTCCCTGAACTCGAATTTGGAACTTTTGCGCAAATAATTCATAGTTCACTGAGTGCATCAATTAATCCAAAAGCATAATTCTCGAAGCTGAACCGACATATATAATAGAACAAATCATCACTGATAAATTTAAAATTTAATTAAAATTAAAATATTTACCAAAGTACAAAAGATTACATTGTTTTTGATTATTTATATCAACGCTTATCATAACAGGTAATCAACATACAGAGGTAGTCAGCTCAAGTAATCAAATTACAGAGGTGGTCAACTTAGGTGATCAAGTTAGAGATAGTCAACATAGGTTATCCAGTTACAAAAGTGGTCAACTTAGGTGATCAAGTTACAGAGCTAGATAGAGAGTCAACATAGGTTATCCAGTTACAAAAGTGGTCAACTTAACAAGTTTCACTGTTAAGTTGACCACTAGTTAAAGTGTTTCTACTACATTTTTCACTTATAGTAAGATTTCTTAGGTTTTCATTTGAAACTTCCTATATCTTCTTGCAAACTGTCTAGAGGTGAGAACTCACGAAAAAGTGGGAAATAACAATTGTTTTGAAATATCATTTAGATTCTCTCATATTTGAAGGAATGAAAGTTTAAAAAAATGTTTTTAATAAACCCTGTATTTTCATTTTTTTTTCTCTCTCTCCTTACAAACCACTTACTGAAGTGTATAAGTACATATTCTATTTACATCTTTAAAAAAGTGAGTTTTTAGAACACTGTGAAGTTTGTGTGCGCCTATTTTTATAACTATATTTTTAATTTTTTCTTATCTCTTTCCTAATAAAATTCTTTCATTTTTTTTTAACCTTCTTTCACTCATATTTTATCAATTTTTGTAAATTATATACATTCTAAATATTTTCAGCGAAAATAATAGATCCAGAATTGAAGAAAAAACAAATTTTTCAGTTTTCATTTTTTTAATTTTCTTTTTCACATATTTTATAAATTTTTGAAAATTATATACATTCTAAATATTTTCAGCGAAAATATTGTGAATAGATTCAAAATAGAAAAAAAAATTTAAATTTTTAGTTTTGATTACATTGATACTGTCCTAACTTTAGCAAAATAAAAGATTAAGGACTTTTGGCGTTTAAAAATTGAAGTATTATTTGTAGTTATTTATTTTTAAATATTTTTCAACTTATTCATTTTTTAAAAATAAATTTTTTTAGTTTTCATTACAGTGATTTTGTTCTTTATTTAGTAAAATAAAAGAATAAGGGCTCTTGGCGCTTAAAAATCGAAGTCTTATTTGTAGCTATTTATTTTAATAAAAACTTTTTACAGGTAGAAAGATTGAAAAATACATAATAAAGAGAGAGTCTGAAAGAGACAAAAATAAATACAGAACTTCAATGACAATTCATAATTTTACACAAATATTTTGATTCTAATAAATCTTTGCATAACAGATTATGCTATTTGAATGATTCAAATTATTCTAATAAATCGAAATCAGAATGCAAAGCAAAAAGAACATTCATTCATAAAAAAAATACATAAATGCACGAAATAGCTGCTAATGAACAAAGCAGGAAAAAAAAAACTATGTATCAAATTAAAATAATCTAGAAATTTTTTATTCTACATTTAAAACAAAATATAAAATTTATTTTAGCAAATTAATGATTTTTTGAAAGTGTTTCAAACGTGTATATTTTGTAAGAAGCACTTTTGAAAGTTAATTTAAAAATCTTTCAGATTAAAACGTATTTAAAACTTGGGATATCGAAATTATTATGGGAATAACTACATTATTTAAAAATAAATAAAGAATAATTCAGCTAAAAAAAATAAAACATTGAATTCAGTTCAATTTGTTTAGTTAAATATATTTAATAAAATATATTTAAACAACTAGCATTTTGGTAGTTGGTTTGAAACCCCTACATTTTTTAAACAATTAAAATTTACATTTGATTTCATTAATTCTATAGTATTAAAATAAATATTTCATTTAAAAGAATTGTAAGAAACAGACTTCAAACCACTACAGTAGCAACAATTTTTCTCAGAAACAGCAATAATCACATCCTCTCAGCAAAAAATTATACAATTATAGTTTCTACAGTAGTTTTGTAAACAATAATACAATCAGTCGAACATTCAATAATTTATATACAAATTAAAGCTCAAAATAATGTGATATTTAAGAAAACAATGAAAGATTACAATATGAAACAGAAAATATACAACTATATCAAACTAAAAAAAAACATATATATTTACATAAAATATAAATATTTGTGACAATATAATATTCACATTAATATCAATAACTATAATTATAGGAACAATAACACTCTATGATCAACAGTTACAATAGAAACAAATTGTGATAGATAAAATATTTATGTTAGTAAATGAATTATTTAAATGCAGGTAAAGTAAAATGGAAATAAATTGTTGTTTCGGAAAAATGCTGAATAAAGAATGTAAACAAAAAGATTTTTTTTTTCTCTTCAGATATCACACTTTTAGAAACTGCAATTTTATTTATAACATTAAGATGAAGCATTGTAAAATGTTCATAAATATGAACTGCACTAGTTAAAATTATAAATCCGAATTAAACAATTAAAAAAAGATAGCTGCATTTTAGATGACATGTTGAGAGAAAATAAGTAAAGTAAATTCCAACGATCAAAAACAGTTTCACAGTTTTTAAAAATTGCCCAGCTGGAAGTGCAATCGCTTCATTGTACTTTGAACTAGATAATTAGCAATTTTAATTTTCAATAATTGATTAATTTACATGAATAAATGTTCAAATTTAACTTCATTTGAATTCCAATTTCAGCTTATTCTAATTCAAAATATTAAGTTTATTTATAATTGAGTTTTGAAAAAACTAGTTACATTATCTGAAACCTAAATATTAATGTAGGGCCGTAACTAAATTTAGCGAAATTTATGTTAACGTCATGCTTTACTAAAACCATTATGTTTTCCTTCCTTCAAAAAACTATATTAAAAACTTAAAATTATACTAAATGTTGCCAAAATTATGTTCCTAATTAACAATGTTTATACTAAATCAATCATGTTCCGAAAATTAAAATATTTACTTTAATAAATAAACACCATTTCAGGCAGAAGATTAAAATATGGAATAAGATAATTTCAACAGTATTATCGATAACGATAATTATCAGATACGATAACATCGTGAGTATCGATAAATTTCTTCGGGCAATGGAAATATTTCACGATCTTTTTAAAGAGATCCTAATTAAATTATAGTTTTTTATTTTATAATTTAAAATAAAATTCATACGAAACGATTATATTTTTTCAAGGCATGTTTTAACAATCAATATTCATGCAATTCTGTATAGAACTGATTACCGATTAATGGAAATTGTCAATATACTTTAATGATTTGAGTTAGGAAATTTTTTTTTTACATAGATTCTCGTAAACCGTAACATTGAATGGTTTGTTAAAGCTTTTTAGTGACAATAAAGTTCGATCAACTGCGATTTTGCTTTCTCCGGAATTCTTTTTTCTACCTCAGAAGTTATATTATCCCTCTAAGTCGTAAAAACAAATACCAACAACTAATGTGGTGAAAATAATTGCTCAGGAAGAAAATATATAACTACCAGTCAAAAAATAATAGATGGAATATAAATATTAATTGTTACAACATTATTTTTATAATCAAAAACCTTTATAGCTTTATCTACTTTTTGAAGGTTTTTATAATTATAATTGCATTAAATAACTAAGTATTAAGTTCAATATATCAAATATTAAGACAAAAACTATCACTTCTTTTAAATACTTTTAAAAGCACTTATTTTTTATGAAAATAATTAAAAAATTTTCAAAGCTATTTAATCACTTAAATTCAGTTTAAAAAATAGAATTGTCTGATGGAATTTGAAATGAAATTAAGAATTTTCTAATGGTTTAAATAACTCAACAATAAATTAAATCTGACACAATGGAAATTTTGTCAGATATCTTTAAATCTTAACACGAACAACGTTTCATATGTAAATGGTTTTAGTTAATTACAAAATAGTAGAGAATTAAAAACTTAAAAGAGAGTGATTTATATCAGTTAAAATAATTTAGGTTGATAAGTATTGAGTTATATGAAATATAAGAGAATTTTCAAAAACTGAGTTCAAACTTTTTATGTAAATTTTAAAAGTAACTACATAAATTCGGATTTAATTTATGATACATTCCATATGCTTGTATTCAATGTCTAGGACTTCTGGCAAACGATTTTTCAGAAGTTCAGCAAAATTCGTTGAAGTGACAAGGTCGAGATATGGATCCTTTTGATGATCTATTAAAATAATAATAGTTTTGAGTTTAGTATATGATTTTAAGAATAAATTAGCGCAATTTTTGTTTTCCATTTTACTCCACAAATGTGAGCTGCAAGATGAGAACGGGTAAATTTTTCAATTTTTTCAATCGATATACGTTTACAAACGCTGAATTTTACTGAAAAATGAACAACAATACGAAAAAGCATGTGTGAAAAAATATCATAAAATGCCCTGCATTTAATAACTAGTATTTTAATTGAATATCGCTAATGGTTCAAAAGTTATTAAAATTCGAAAGTCGCTGTATTTAATTGAAAAATGAACAATATGAAAGCGAATGAGTGAAAATAAATCATAACATGCCCTGCATTTAATAACGAATTTTTGAATTGAATGTCGCTAATGGTTTATAAGTTATTATAATTTGACAGTCTTTTCTTTTGACTGTAGCTCTTTGGATCATTTTTAATAATCTCATTTATGTATTTAAATAGTTTAAATATTTGTGACAAGGCAAAGAGTTTTGTAAAAAAAAAAAAAATAATAATAACAAAATAAAATTTACCAACAATTAATATCGAATCTTTGAGATCATAGAATATAGATGCAATCTTTCATTTTATAAAGCAAACAACAGATGCCGAAATCTTTTTTAAAAAAAGTTAATTTAAGTATTATAATAAGTTAGAAACCTTTAAAAAATGAGTTACTCTAAAGTCAATAAGTACAGCTTTTTCGAATTGAGAAAAATAATTTAAATGCTATGGCCGTGCAGACTAGCACTCTGATGTTTAACCACAAATAAAAATTTCATAAAGTCTAAGACTTCCTCGAAGAGTCTTGATAATATACACAAATTCAGTTGACTGAGAATAAGTAGGACTGATTAACCCAACTTCCTTATATCAGAGTTATCAATGGCACTTGTAATCTTCACTCGTAAAGAATTAGCGCAAAAGCTGCTTCGCGGCCGACATCTCCCAGAAGGAAAAAAAAATCATCAGTACAGATCCAATCATTTTACTCACAATATTGGACGATTCATCGATTGGATTTACCTCAAGCCACGAAGATCTCCAGACCTGAGATCACGAGCGAGATCTCGCTCTTTGTTGCTCTCAATACTCTGGATGCATTGTGACGGTGGGACCGATTCGGCAACTTGACACAGTTGCCCAGGATCGGCATTTTTAAGTAGAAAGAATTTTAATTATTTTTTTTAAAAATATCAGTTTGCGTGGCTCTTTACTAGCTACCAGCTATTTCCATCTTACGATACTTCTTCCTGAGGTTCGATACCGGATCCTTGAAGAGGACGGGATCCATTCTAGTGTTGGAACGGACCAATGGCATGTAGCCGAAGATCTTTGAGAAGGCATTAATGCAAGTCTGTCTTTGGACGAAATGATCCGGGTCATTCCAGGGTGATGGATAACCGCGTCCACCGCCCGTCAACATGGTCTCTTTGTATTGTTTTCGCTGCGTCACTTTGATCGGTGGCAACCGCGTCACGTGACTGACTAGGAAGTTGAGCAAGATGTCTTCGCAATTCTGTGACTGGTCGACGATCTTTTGAAGTAAATGGCTCAAGTAGTGGGTGTACAAGAAGTGATAGTACCTAAAAAAAAATCAAATATTACACAATGAGTCTGTTGATAATATAATTTAATTCTAGATTTAAAAATAAACATATAGAACAAGACCTAGTTAAAAAGTTACTAGATAATTAGAATCAAAGCAAAAAAATTACAAAAGTAATACTTAAAAGAAATATATCACAAATAAAATAACCATTCCACAGTTATAATACACACGCATTAGGTTGAAGTCTGGAGATCTGGTTGGCTAATCCATTTGCCAACAATCTTCACGCTACAGAAAATCAACAACAAGATGAGCTCAAAGTTCCAGCCCATTGATAGTATACATGAAAAGAAATTAGGACCAACAGCGTGCCAAAAAATGCTATAACAGGGCTGCCACAGTTACAGACATGCCAACTGCCCCGGAGACGCCAAAATAATTAATAAAACGGTAAATAACTACAAATTAAAATTTGTAAATAATTGACTATTTTTTCTTGCTTTTTAAAAGGAAGAGTATGATATAAATACTGTAAAGAGGTGAATTATATAAGCCTACGAATAATTTAGAAATAGTGGTGGATAAAAATCTACTAAATTGAATTTTTAAAACCAAGAATCGCAAGTGATAAACTATCACTTTAAAATATATATTTGTTGTCCGGAGCAAGTTGGCATCTCTGCAGTTATAATACACACGCATTAGGTTGAAGTCTAGGTCTGGTTGGTTAATTCATTTGTCAACAATCTTCACGCTACAGAAAATCGACAACAAGATGAGCTCTAAGTTCCTGAGCATTGAAGGTACACATGAAAAGAAATTAGGACGGACAGCGTACCAAAAAATGTGATAATAGGGTTGCAAGCACACCAGCTAACGCGGCTCTTTTAACGATGATGGGGAGTGTACGGTCATTCAAGACGAAGGCAACTCAGACCATCGAATTTTAGAGGATTTATTGGCGAATATTTCTCGGATATCGAAGTTTAAGTACTGTGTCCCTGAATCAAATTTCAATATGCAGAATGTCAGAGATCTACTAACTTTTCTCCAATGTCCGAGAAATCAACCACTATTATAGCAGCAACGCTTTAATGGTTTGAACAGGCATCATGTTTGTCTGGACAGGAATTTGCACAATGCAAGTAAAGAAGCAGCAAGACTGATGTAAAGTATAGAGATGTCTTATAGCCCCATGTTTACCATTTTAGAGTTGCTCTGATTTTATTTTAATTTAAGACAAATTGTGATCCATGGCGATCATTTAGGTAGCCAGTTTCTAGAACGCCGCTTGCAATGACTTGTTAGGTATTTAGACTTCAATTATATCAAGCATGTGTAAGATGCTTAAAGGACAACTAAAACTCAACAGCAAATCTCTAGTATCATCAGCGAAATTTATCGAGCCAATATGCGAGACGTTTATCATAAATCTAACTTTAGCTACGACCCCAATGCAGACAGAGATTATCATTGCAAAAATTCGGCATAATTTAATAAGAGGATTGGAAAATATAAAGTATTTAATAATTATAAACATTTTTTTTTAAATTTAATTTTTAAAGGAGTGTAGTGAGGATAGTTCATTTTGTAGGGCAAAATCAATCTGCAGATGCTAAAATACTTTGCAGCGCCCGCCCTGGACTTCTGACTAACACCCAGAGCGTTAGAACAGCAATGCTGAAAGAAAGGGATCAACTGCTACAGGAATACTTAAATTGTCTTATTCCCCGCAAAAAATCACAACATGAGGACTGCCTATATTTTAGTATTAACAAAGAAAGACAGAACCAGGGTAAGTCATCTGCTCTGGAGACTTGTCCAATTCTAAGCCTATTCCTACCCTAAACATGATGGTCTCGCAATTTCTGGGCACAAGCATAATAAGTATTTATATAAACGTTTTAATCAGAGATAAAAAAAATACTATTATAATTAACTTTTACCTTCGGCTACTCCAGTTGCAAGAGTAACTATGGATACCACGCTTTTGAATTTTTATTAAAAGAGAAAGCAATGAAAATATATTGAATTATTTTATAATAATTCTTTAAGTCCAGAAAAAAATTCGAAATTATTATTTTTCTTTTTAAATAATAGAAAAGTGCACGGATTTTTTCCCCTAGAAGATTAAAAGTAAAGTGGCCACAGTAATCCCCCTAACATACGCTAAAATTAACCGTATTTCCCTCCTGCTAATAAAGTTTTTTGCCTTTATTACAAAGCGGAGACCTGTTGGACTCACCAAAATTATAGGTATTGGTATTATTTATTGGTATTGGCATGAGGTTGCAAATCCCAATTAAACGAAAGGCAATTTTTTATTTTTGATCAGAAGATAAAAACAAATACATGGAAGTAGATTAAACCTCCTTTCTGAACAATTAAATAATTGCAAACATAAACAAATACGAGGACAAACAGTTTTTATAAACTTATAATTGCTAATATCTAATAACAGTATTCTATTCTTGTACATACTATTCTTTTTGCAAAGCTTCGGCAATCACTTAAGCGAATTGGATTTTTTCCCAGACTGTAAGACAAAACCTGATTTTTTTTTCTTCTTCAACAGCCTATGTTCATTTTGATACAGAATCTGAATAAAAATAGCATAAAAGAGAATACCACGTAATATTAAGCTCTCAAAATGAAGATAGCTCCTATACCATACAAATTATGGATGTTATCTCTTTTGTTCCTATAGCGATTTTTCTTTCTTCATTTGGGGGAAATTTTTCTTTTATCAATGCAACGGAGTATCGAGCAATCTATTAATGGTTCGTCAATTTCGATAGACTGTTCTCATTTTTTCCTCCACTCATTAACTAATTCGTTCTTTAATACAACTTTTGCCCTTTAACTATTTCATTATTGGTTTGCACGGTTTAAACTTCCATGGGTGAAAGGTCACGTCGCCTCATTATACGAGTTAATATAACGAGGAAACCTAATAAATATGCTGAAAATGCGTGGGTGTCACCTTTCCCTCAAATTTATGGGAGATGGGTTTCTGATAGAATGATTATCAATGCATTATATATTTGCAAGCAATAGGCTAGGTAGAAATGACATAACATTCCTAGAAGATAGCAATTAGTAAATTTTTAAATTGAGGGCAAGTAAAGCGAAACTCGTTAAAAACGATCTTTTTGTTAAAAGCATTTACTTTGTTTACAAATTAGTAAAAAAGAAAGTAACAAGTAAATAGTAAAAGAAAGTAAAACAAGTAAAAAAGAAAGACGAAAAAGTATAATATTGCCAGTAACTTATAACAATCGAGTTAATATAGTCCATAGGTAATTTTCAGGTATGTTCATTTTAAGTAAAATTAATCTTAAAATTTGTTAGAAGACTTCTTTAAAATTTTTTTAAAGAAATTGTACGACAATAACATCAAATAAACCTCCGAATTTTCTTCTACTTTCTTCAAAAGTTTTAGAAGAAACGTCTTGCAACATTTTAAGGGAAACTTTACATAAATGAATAAAATACAAGTAAAATTAATTCAGTATCAACTCGATTCTTATGAGTTGCATGCAATATATTTTATTTCCTACGTTTTCATGCAGAACCATAGATAAATTGTTTCAATTTTTTAAAATTGTTTAATTTAAATTTTTCTCGTTCTAGAGTTCGGAAACAATAAACTTAGGGAATATAAATGGATTACTTAAATAGTTAATAGCTAATTTCGTTATGTTTTTGGAACAGTCGGACAAAATTAATTTGTGAAATAAAACATAAAAGCATGATTTCTCAATCAGTAGTCTATTTTCTAGGCATGCTGAAAACATCTATAAAAAAATTTCGAGTAAATGAATTAAAAAAAAATGATTTTAAAATACTGCATTTAAAACTGAAGAAATAACGAGAAAACAAGATTTGAGATAAAACGTTAAATAGACAGCTTGTGGTACATTAGTCTTATTGTAAGTATATTAGTCTGATGGTAAGTAACTTTCCTTATTATTTTTATTGTAAATATCTGAAGATAGATAATTTAGCCATAAGGTTAGGAAAAAAAAGGTACTGGAGTAACTTAAATGAAGTTTAAACATTTAAAATAAAATATTTGGTGAAATTCGTGTCATGCGATATACCTTTCTTAAATAGTTTCCTGCTATCACAGTGTAAGGAATTACGAAGCGTTTTCCTAAAGTTAAAGTAAAAAGGATAGACCCTTTCCCTATTTCGAAGTGATTCATCTTTGTAACCACCAAGTCTGGAGAAATTCTTGTGATGGTTCGACAGTAATTAATTTTTTTGTTATCTTTCGGGTTCTTTTTTATTTTTGGTAAATTTATGTAATGTCTCGAACAATTATAAACAACCCTTATGACCAGTTTCAGATTAATATTAGAACAGCCAGAAAACCAATCTACATACCTGTGGTAGAAGGCAGCTCCAGTCAATACAATGGAATAGTCATTGGTCCACTTGGAAGTATAGCCCCAACAGCCCCTCCCATCATCCCAGAAGTGGGATCTTGCGGGATATCCTACAATTCTTTCCGGGAATGACTGCCACACTCGAAAAGCGAAGTCCAACTATAAGAAAGATAATAAACAAGAAATTCAATGACGAGATAACTAAGATGAAACAGTTGTGGAAAAGGCACCCATGTAAAGCAATTAATGTATTTTACCTCTTCAGTGGTGAGGAGAACATCTTCGTCCAAACTTAGAACTGCGTCGGTCTGGATCAAAGGATGAGGAAAGAATCTGGAACTGATTGTCTGCAAATATACAAAAAGATTTTAAATTATAAAAATTAGAGCTAAAAAAAGTACAAAATGAAACATCAATTTTTAAGTTACAAATTTTCGAAAGAAAATTAGTGAATAAAACACAAATTGAATGCCATAAGCGTATAGCAAATTTTTACCATAGGCGCAAAGTTTTTGCCATACGTATAAGTATGTGGTAAAATTTTATCATAGGTAAAACCACATTTTGATCCAAAGGTATTTCTTTATAAAGCAAATTTTTGCCATAAGACTATGGCTTGCTATAACTTTTGATTAAATTTTTAAATTTAATCAATTATAGCAACATTTCTTCACAGTTTATCATACAACTATACATAGGGAAATTTATACATCGACAGCAATGAACAAGAGTGATTGAATGATAGTCAGTTTTCGATGCTTTTCACAATGATTATACTACAAGAATACTTACTTATAATAAGAGAAATTAAGGCGAGAGATTAAATTATTAAATATATGAGGAAGGACAGCAAATATGTAAGAAAGCCAAGAGGTTTTACCGGACAATACTCGGATAATTTAAATCTTAAATTAAAATTTAAGAAGAAAACAATAAAGGTGATATTAGTAAAAATTTTAATTTATCTTATAGATTTTGTTGGTTCTCTACTGTTCATTAATCCAAAATCAACCATAACATCAAATATGGAACACAATACCGTAGAAGGGCAAAAAATCTAAGATTTGATGTCAGCGAAATTCACTCAAGATTATTGTAGCTGCAAGAGCTAATATGGTTCTAGATTATTGAGTTGATTATAAAGTAACAAAAATTTCGAGTTATCGGTGTCGCGTGCATGCTTTGCCGTCCACTTGCCAGAGGTGGACATTCTTTGAAGTTGAAATGCTGTTGTATTTCCCCTTAATTTACCGCCATCTGTGGAATTATATGGTGTACCGCCATATAATTCCATACAAATTCTAGGGTTTCCATAGGCTTATGATGTCTTGCCTTAAGAATGTCATACTAATTTCTACAGCAACCATAGCCGCATGGTGTTTTGCTATATAACTGCCATAGAGTTTCTATGGCTACCATAGGCTTAAGGTATCTTACCTTGTAAGTTTTTAAGGGTGTCATAGATTACCACGGTCGTGTCTATGGTAAATTTTCCTAAGGGATGTAAAATAGCATGGTTGTTATTCGTTTCGGGGGGAAAGCACAAAAAATCACTCAGCTATATCCTTTAGCCAGTGATGTTGATTGATCGTGACAATACAATCTAAGATATGTTTACACTAGAGTCTACTGAAATTAAATATTAGGTGTCCCGTGTAACATTAAATAGAATTAAAAACAGATAGTGTGTGTAAGAGTACATGAAAATATATACAGAAGGCTCAGTAATTTTACAAATTGATACTCCTTTTTGCTCTGAACATTTATTTTATGTTATAACCAGCGTTGAAAATCCGACCCGAATCTGAGTTTACGACTTTCAAAAAGTTCAACCCCGTAGGTTTTGGTATGATATAGTAATTTTTCAGGTTTCCGTAAAAAATAAAATAAAATACAATTTTGCCTTATTATTCCCTGCTTTTTAGAGTCAAAATAAAATTCCCTTAAGAAATGATATTTCCAAATCTGCAAAATCATTATTTAATTATGCATTTTACATGAAACATAAAAACATAATTTGAATAAAAAAGTAAAAAAATTTTTTTTTAGTTATTTTGGCAGCTAATAAATTCACACAAAAAAAAATTAATTTAAAATAATTTTGCTCAGTAGCAAATAAATTCGCTCAGTTATAGTAATGTAAAAGAATTGTGTGAGGTAATAGCTTTAAAAAAAATATGTTAAAATAGTTTAAATATGTTACGAAAATAGATGTTAAAAATTGTTACATACATTTACAATTTAATCATAACTATACAAACAAAAAGAGAAGTTTTTAATATAGTACTATAATCTTTTAAGACTATTTAGAATTAAAAATAACTAAGACTTTCAAATTCAGATAAATATAATACCAACTAATTAAATTTGCGTAAGTTTTGATACGTTATGCAAATCTATAGCAATTACTTAGTAAGAATAATACAACAACATCACGAAACAATTTCTAAAACTAAACCGCTTACTATTCTTTTGCGAAGGATTTGCAGTTTTAAAATATTAATCTGTCTTATAGTTAAACACCCACGTCTATTCAAACAGCAACATTTTTCCGAACTAATTCACTCGAAATTCAAACCTACGCATTGTTGCTGAACAAAGAGATATGAGAAAAATAATTTTAGTTCGCCTACGCGTTTTAAAACAAATCCAAGAAACAGAGACAATCAGAAAGAAAATATCAATTTAAAGCCCTCTCAAAATTGAAGAAAAAACAATCAGACTTAGACATTTTCTTTAATCGCCAAATAACGAAAAAAGAATTTAACTCCCAGCCAATATTTACTTCATTTTCATATCGTTCTAAATGACAACGTCAAAAGAAAATTAACCCAATGAAAAAAGAAAAAAAGCAATATATTTTAAAGAAAACCGTCATTACTTTTTTCCTATCTCGGTGTTTTTTGGCGACTGATTACAGAGTGTGGGGAATGGATATTTGAAGGGACGGAATATTACGCCAAGATAGAAAAGATAAAAATATATTATTTACGTGTAAGGGATTGTTGAAGGTGAAAAAGAAAAATGGAGGAGAAAACGTTCTTTAAAGTATAAAGAAATATTCTAAAATGTCTTTAAAGTAAACAAAGCTCCTTTCTAAAAAAGGATAAGAGGTTTTAGAATAAATAAAAATTTGTTGGAAATTAATATGTATTAACCTTTTTTTAGAAATGAAGAAATCTTTTGGACAGACTTAATTGGCAAAAGTTAATTATTAAAATCTGCGAAACGTTCGTTTTTATACACGAAAAATTAGGAAAAGTATTTTAGAAAGGAGTATTTGTAAACCACTAGACTTTTTATACAAATAACTCAAAACTCAATTACATGTCATAATAGGAGGTAAAATTGTTACTAACTTATTTAATTTGTTATTATCTCAAAAGGAATAATTAAGACAGAAAAAGCGTTTTTATTTGTTTATTTAATTCAACAGGTTTCCACTGAATTATAGAAATGAAACTCTCAGTCTTTTCCAGGAGAGATTCAACAAAATTACAGATTACATTATTGCTATTTACAGCAAAGCATCACCGGAAACATAACTCTAATATCTGGAAAGCAATTAAACTCAATTTTAATAGAACGCATGTCAAATAATGCATTTTTCAAAAAATAAAATTTCAATAGGTGATGGTTTAGCATGTTTATTTTAGAACAGTGTTTTCCAATTTTTTCGGACATGTAACCCAAAACAATTTATCTTCTTTTGGGGGAATCCCAAGACTTTATAAATAAATCAAAACATTTAATGATTGAAATATTATTAATTATTTTGAAATAGTGACGGCTGATCGGTACGGATTCCGCATCCGACTCGCACCGACCACAGTGCGGACGTAAAATATCCTTAGTGGCAGACGCATCATGGAGTAGAGTCTCTGGTAAAACCCATTTACTGAGAGGGCGCTGTGAGCTCAAAAACGAGTAGATCACTTGCAGAACAAGGTTCAGTCCCCTTGCCGTCAGGCTAACCGTGGGAAGCTTTCGAGGTTGTCTTCTCCAAGCGACGCAAATGCGGGTTAGTTGCTTCAAAAATAAAATAAGAAAGTCTTCCACGATGAGAAATTTCTTCCAATACTTGATTCAGGAGCCGCGATGGCTCAGGGGATAGAGCGTTCGCCTTCCAATGCGGCGAACCGGGTTCGAATCCCAGTCGATACGAAATCCGCATCCGGTTTGCACCGACCACAATGCTGACGTGAAATATCCTCAGTTCTAGACGGATCATGGGTTAGAGTCGCCTTGCCATCAGAATAACCGTGGGAGGTTCTCGTGGTCTTCTTCTCCATGTAACGCAAATGCGGATTAGCTCCCTCAAAAAGTCCTGGACGAAGGCAAATTTCTCCCAATACTCGATCCAGGAGTTCCCTTGTCTTCTGGATTGGGTTCAAAATGACAAGGCTACGGAGTTGAACATCAGTAGTCGTAAACCCATAAAATTGGGTCGGCTGTTCAACGACGGTTATAAATGCTTGATTCAGGAGTGCCTTTGTCATCTGGATTATGTTAATTATCCTGTTATGTTAATTAATAATGGATTATTAAAATTACAAGACAGTTGAATATTGGTTGTATAAACTTAAAATTAAACCGGGTGTTCAACGACGGTTATAAAAAATAATAAATGAAAGAAGTACATTTTTCATAGCATCGCTTTATTAATACTATTAAGTCAAACAGTTAGATTAGTAGGTCTGATGGAAAGGCATGAAGTCTTCGAATTTGATTTTAATGTATGTATAAACTGAATTTACATGAGCTATAACTTAGTTTTCATCGAAATTAAGACAAGAAAAAAAAAGACTGAAATAAACGTTGAAAATGGTTATTAGAGAAACATATTTCGTCACTGCTAAATTTAATTATTTTTATTCTATCCAAACTAACTAATGAAATTGTTCATAAATGTGTCCATTTCATTATTTATTCAATATATTTTCGATAAGAATTTTTTTTTTATTTTTGCTTTTCTTTCTTCACAAGCATAATAATTAAATAATGCCATAAAAATAACTTATATATTATAGAAATAATAGTTAATTAACTTAATTGCAGGCTTAGAAAATCGTATCTGGTAAAATAAGTCCTAGCTCCCAGAACCCTTGTAGCTAAAAAGCTAAACACCATTTGGGAACCCTTGCCTTCAAAATTCACAAGATATAAAATTATATATCTCAGCGACAGTTGCACAGAAACCGGGAAAAAAGTTACCGTTTATGGTAAAATAAGTCCTAGCTTTCAGAACCCTTCCACGAAACCATAGGGTTCCACGGAACACCATTTGGGAACCCTTGCCTTCAAAATTCACAAGATATAAAATTATATATCTCAGCGACAGTTGCACAAAAACCGGGGAAAAAGTAAGAAAACAATATAACATATAAATGAAAACATATAAGTAAGTATAACATATAAGTGAATTTCAAAATTACAAGTCAATAAATATAATTATATTTCATTTAAAAACAAACCAACATTTAATTAAGTTCTTTTTTTAAAGAAACTAATAAAAACTTGAAGATGAACGTTGTTCTTAGCCACAATTGCTCAGCTCAGAAAATTCCCACTAAATTGCAAGATCTCCAGATTGGTAGAGCCTTCTCAGTTTCTAAGCAAGCAATCGCCTGAAAATTTAATATCAAGAATCGGAAACAGTAGAGAGGGATATTCCACAGAATTCGATCGGATTTATCGAAGCAAGAATCGTCTTCTGCGGCGAAACTCAATTACGCGAGTACTTTCCATCGCTTGGTCCACTTCGGATAGCCAATGGCAGTAACGGTCAGCTAATGGGCTTTGGACAACACAGAGTGGCCATTAAGGCTTATACATCCAGAGGCGGGAATAGCTAAACAAGTTGATTTTGGATTCTGATACGGAAACCTTAGGAACCGTATCAGAACAATCGAAGAGTCGATGGATCATGCAACGAAATGGATATTCTCCTGAGAGGTGCAATTTCGAACTACATTTTTTTTTATTCCTTCTTCTCAAATATGTTATAAATCAATAGAAAGTACCCGGATATAAATCATCTTTTCTAGATTTATGCTGGAGACGTGATAAATTGAATAGAGAATTGGGCAAAAAAGGAGTTATGGTAATAATAACAGCAATAATAAAATTAAAGAGTACAGTGCAAAAAAAACCCGATTTACCTGAATAACTTCAGATCGGATCGCCACGTTTTTAATGAAGTTTGAAAATTCGATTTCGTAGGAACTGTTTGACCGATTTTACTCAAATTTTGCAGTTTGCCATGTAAAATTATAGTTCTGAATGATGTAAAAAAAAACCTTGCAATTCAAAATTTGTTTCAACTAATAAATAAAATAATAAAAATAATAGATATTTATGAAAAGTTATTTTTTGTATGGAATTATCTTTGAAGAAAGAAATGCTATCAAAAATTTTTCGATCAACTTAAAAAGTTCTCGAGACATTTCGAAATACCCAAAAAGTAGAATCACCATTAAGTAGCCCGAATTCTGAACCGCTTTTTTGACCAAACTATTGGGACCATATTTCCCAGATGGCAGCTACCCCCAATATTTCGGAGATCAGAACTACGAATCCGTCGAAAAAATGTACGTACGTTCATTCAGATAAAGTAAGTTTGTGACTTAAAATATCGTCTGCTCTAATAAATTGACATATTTGAGGTCACCCTCTGGAATTATTAAGATGGATTCCTAGAACGTGAAGATCCGATCATTAAATCAAAAGTTATTCCGAGTGGTTCTTTTTTTTAATTTTGTGCACTGTACATGTGAATCTTAATTTTGACATTATAATAGTAGGGGTTCCCAAAAAGTATTTCGAAAGATTTTATATCACTCCACAACTAACTGTAAAACGTACTGAAAATAATGGACAACCCTTAAAAAATTTTTGCAAGTGAGGGATATCAATTTAAAATATAGAGCATACAAACAGAATTTCCAAATCATATATTTATGTGCTATCTTAAAACACATATAGCTTTCAGTTCTTGGACTAAGACACCATAATAGCAATGAGATCAGCATTGCACAAGGACTGCCATTACTATCCAGATAAGCTGGTTTCAGAAATGAGTTTAAGCTTATTTTCAGAGGTTCGAACCAGAGATTAAATATATCGATTAAGTCTAAAATTCACGAAAATGTAATATATGATATTTGAGATAACATTGATTTTACATTATCAAATTCACGAAAATATAGGATATAATATTGATGTTAACAGCAGCGGTCGCCATAGCAACGCATGCGCACTGTTTACTATTACTCTTGAACAGAGTTGAAAAGTGTGATGATGTCCAAATGTGGTGCGCACGCCATCAAACCCAAAACAACACCCATTTTGCCAATGGGTAAAATGAATACTGTATCATCACAGTTGGCAATATTTTAAAACCTTACAAAGTCATTTTAAAATTAAATAAAATATCAAAGAAGAGAGAGAGAGCTGTGTCTCACCTTATGTTGTGCCTGAATGACGTTTATGGGTATTGGGGATGAAGGCCACTTCACAGAAGATGCTGGTACAGTCTCACTATTCCAGATGACAACAATCTGAAAAAAGACAAGTGAAAATTTAATTACTTTTATTGCGAAATAAGCATATTCTACTTAATTTATCTAGGAAAAAAGTTTTATTGAATACTTTTTTAAAAATTAAGCTTATTTTCATTTCGGAAATTTACTGTTCGCTTGTAAGGAGAACTCCTCAAGTCACACCTCACTTGCCGTGCTGGCGTTTACTGTGGTTACAGCGACTGGCTCCTGCAAATCGGGACGTGGGGTTTACAATTTCGTATTTGTTTAAATGGAAAGAATATTATGCTTTCTTCAATTCTCGCCTATCAGAAATGGCGTTATAAAAAGTTTACATAGCGGCACACAACTTCATAATTTAAGCAGGGAGTTCTCGTGATTGTTGGAGAGTACCTTGGAAAAACTCGAGTTATCATACTAGATTAATAATATAAATATCTATTCTTTGATCTGAATTTAGGTGAAAGCGATGTTTCTAAAGTGGAAACCAACTAAAGTGGTAGCCAAAACTATAAAATATCAAACTTAATCTAACAATTTGTGATGTTTAAGGAAACATTTTGTGAAACAATACAATTTTTAGGGAAAGTTTGATAAAATACCTCTCCCTTGCTACGCCACTGAAAAGGATTAGATAAACTGTTTGATTACTTTTTCTAAAGAATATTTTCCCTCCAGGCTGTTAAGGGATGCAGTTTAAGAAGATGGATCTTAATTTCCAGTGTATCATCACTGGACGGTCTTAATTTCCAGTGTATCATCAATGATATGTTTTTAAAGTATAGAAGGAAAAAAAAAAGAAAACAAATTCTCAAACGATGACAGGAGCAAGAAAAAACAGCAAGAAAAGGAGCGAAAAGAAAATCCTTTATTAGGTATAACTTGGTTTCGGCGTTTAGCCTATCATGATTTGTATGAGCTCTGAGGCTCTTCTTCAAATTTTGTTGAAAAGCAACCGTATTTATTTAAATAAGATACATACCGGACTGCTAATTCTCAGGGGAAAAAAGTAAAACTAATATTAACAGTATTTTATTTTTACCGAAAATTAGTAGTCCATCCCTTTATGTAATTTTAAATATATAAGGTAATATATAAAATAAGTATATAATATAAATCCATCTCTTTAAGTAATTTTAAGTGAAGAGAAAAAAGAAATTACGTCAAATTTAGAGCAAAACAAATTCGGTCAGCCAGTACGTTTCAAGACATAAAAACCTTAAATATTTTTATTTATTGAAATAATGCAGCCTATAGAATAATGTCTTCGAAAAATTATTTTTTTCTTAAATAAAACAATCTTTTACATCTAAAAATATCCTTCCTCCACTAACTATTCAGAAAAGTTTCTTTAACCAATGGAAGACGAATAGCGTTCTTCCACCGCCGGCGTTCGAATAGCCGACTGGGGATAATAAATCAGTCATACTTCAGAGGATAAGAATAATGTTAGCTATAACAGGCCGTCATCCTCCACACCTCCCCATAGAATGTCCCCACAATTAATCGAGAACAGTATAACAGAATTATTCACATGGACAGACACAGACAAGAAAATATTCATCAAATAAAATACATAGATAAAAATACTCCTCTAGTTTAAACATACTTTTTTATTAGGCTTTATTAAATGCAGTACGTTATGTTTCTTGGACTTTTAATTTTGGTAGTAAAAAGGTTTAAAAATGGTTATTAATTTTCATTAAAATCTTCAGTCCAACATTACATCACCCTACCATGCCAAAGCACCTAGCCCCATTTTTAGGGCTCAATCTTTTAACGACCATTGTAGGAATGACATATAATTTTGACCCTGATCAGGAGACGAGGACAGAGCCTAAGCTGGTACCCCTTTTTCCAAACTTTCACACCACAACCAACGAGTGTACTTTTAGCCTGAACAGATTTAGCATGCATCTCGCTGTTTATATATTCCGGGTGTTTTGTCGGCTATCAGGATCGAACTCACTACCACCAGCTCTGCAAACAGCGGTAAGCGATGCCTTAATCAACTGCGCCACCAAAGAGCTAGCATATGGTGGGTGTTTTTTATACACCGCCCTTAACCCTTTCAGGAATAACGAATTCGGATTGAAAATTTCAATCAGATAGGACATTAGCAAGTGCTACTTTAGAGACAGTACTTACCAAGTGCAGAGACATTCTTTAGCTTTTTGTTTAAAGAGTAGTGGTTGCCGAAGATATAAAAATAATTAGTTTTAAATTTCTAGTGGTTTGTAACATTTGTTGAATTAGAGTTGCCAAACTTGTTACATCGCACTAGAGACGGTTAAAAGTGTTTTTTTTCCAGGCACTAAAAGCAAGGGCTAATGTTCAGGTGACTAAATTTTGAAGCGAAACCATATATGCCCTCTACTTTGACGTAAAGAATTATCTGAATTTGAACAGTTCTATTTCTGTTAATACTCTTTGAGCCCAGAGAATGCACCATTGGAGTAACTTTCTGGGCATTAGAAAATTATACCACAAATGCTATTTAATTTTAAAAATCGTCAATTTGGTAAAGATTTTTCCGCTTTGATACAAATTCTCAAATCAGTGAATCTTACCCCATTTCTGCGAATTCTTACGGCCCAGATAATGAAGCGTTGGAGTGATTTTTTAAATATTAAAATTTAGATCACAAAAGCTATTCAATTTTACAAAATTGATGCTCCTTTTTCATATTGACGTTATTCACCATTTCAAAATTAGCATACCTGGCTAAAGATTGATTTAACTCAACCTAATAGTTAACCTTGACTGCAACAATGTGAAGCGTTACATATGCTTTCAAATTTGGTTTTCTTTCTTCAGTATATCTTTAATTTGCCAATACTTTTAAAGATTGAAACCCTTTCTTCTAGTTCTTTCTAATAAAGCGTAAGATGATCTTACGACAGGGACTACTATCTTTTTCCATGGAAAGCGTCATCTATCGGTCGAAATGTGAACTATTTTCATTGCAGATTCCGTTTTCAATGATTCATATTAGTTAACCATTTCATCAACATAGTCTACAAAAACGGACCATTTTGATCTTATACTGGATACTTCTAACCACAATCCCCCTGTATATTAATTTTTCAATATAAGAAGTTAAAAGGTGCAATCTCTTTAAATGACAAGCTACAGCAGTTTTCAAAAATTATTACTTCTGTATAATTATACTGAGAGGGTGTGGTGAAGAATATTATTACAAAAATTAATACGTGCTCGCTGCTTTATTGAACAAGTGTATCAGTCAGATCTTATTTTAATTAGTTGATATTTTGATAAACTGCGAACTTTGGAATCCAATTCATCATCGGTTCCACACTTTCATTAAGTAATTTCGCCATACACATTTCAAACAAATTTTAATGAAGTAAAATTTTGACTAAACACTTACTCTGGCAGCATTGGCGGATTTGGCGACAGTTTTGACAAGTCGAATAAGGGGTGATGAATGTGTTGAGGGCGTTGCCATGGATACATAGATGACGGCGGTAAATTTGGAATGAGGAGATGCACCTAGGTGATTCAGGTAAAAAGGAAAATCGCGCAACACATCAGAGAATTGTGGCAGTGTGGGAAGGGCTCCCGGATGGCTATTCCAAACATAAGAACTCCGCTGAAGTGGAATTCGAACTCTTTCCCTGATAATCTGGAAGAAAGAAATAACATACGTAAGCACTTGTGTAAAAAAATGTCCGATTACGATAATTCAAAAGATAATGACTTCATCATAATCAGGATGCATAGTCAAATTATTCAACAAAAAATAAGCAACTATAAGCGCTTTTCAAGCACTTAAAAATATATCATAATCAGCAGGGTTTTGACAATTGTCGGTTTTATCTTGTTTTAACAGTCATGTCAAAAATCATGAAATTTTGAATCATGTAAAACAAATGACGTTTTTATACACTACGGACTGACAATACGCCGAAATAGATTTGGGTTGAATTTGGGAACAATGTGAACTGTGTCCTTTTGCATAATTCAAAGCGAAAATCAACATAGTAAAGGAAAAATCTCATTTTGAAAAAGGGAAAATTAAGCACTTTTTAAAAGCACCCAATGAAAAAGCACCTTTAAGAGCTTTTAAAAAACGAAAATAGAAAATAAGCACCTTTAAGCACTTTTCAAAAACGCTACGCACCCTGTTAATGGTATGAGACAATGACAATGGCTTTATTTGTGGCAGCATTGGTGCCATATTGAAAATGCGTATGAAACATGAAGGTTGGTAAGACAGAGATGCCAACTTGCTCCGGACAGCAAATATATATTTTCAAGTGGTAGTTTAGCAATTGTGATTCTTGGTTTAATAAATTCAATTTAGAAGATTTTTATCCACCACTATTTCTAAATAATTCGTAGGCTTACATAATTCACCACTTTATACTACCTATGCCATACTATACCTCATATAAAGCAAGCAAAAATTGTCAAATATTTGCAAAATTTACTTTGTAATCATTTACCGTTTTTTTCATTATTCTGGCGTGTCCGGAGCAGTTGGCATCTCTGGTAAGAGTTTGAGAATAATATGTGTTTGGTCAGTACATTTGTTGAAATTCTCTATTTGTTAAAACTCTCTCGTCTGTACTTAAAAGTTCCGTGTATGGGTGGGAAAAAAAGAATTTCAAAAAGGGTTCCGCGTATAGGTCACAGGGGTTCTGAGAGTCTATTTTTTTCCTTTCAACCAGTAATAATTTTTGACATTTATATACATCCAAAGAATAATAAAATATTAATAACATACGATTATCCTTCGCAAGTAAACAAATAAGCGTCTCCCGAATATGGGTGATGCGGCAGTCAACGTGTTAATGCTAGAGATTATCAACAATGTCTCACTAATTGAAACAGTTCAGGACGAAAACATTCTGATCATATTTTAATACGAGAGATTATAAACACTCGTTCACTAATTTAAACTGTTTATGAAATAAGTATACCGATCACAGGAAGACGAATAGCGTTCTTCNGGATTCATTGATCTGGTCTGACCCCGTCAGACCAGATGGGAATTAGCAACAACAACAACAACAACAAAACACTGATTTCACGCGGAATACGGAATGCTCTGAAATTAAACAAGAATAATATAAAAAAAACAAAAATTAAAGCTGGTTTCTAAATTATCAATTAAAAAAAATGTTTTTTCTTTCATAGTAGTATTTCTTAAATGGTCAGGAAGGAAAAGTTTAAAAATTTTATATATATATACATCAGTAGTCAATACTAGCAACCATAACATTAAATCCACAAAAAAAGCATACTGAAATATACGAACTAATTCACCTTTATAGAGTAATAAAATCGAGAAGATTTTGACTTTTAAAATAAATTTACTTTAATATAATGAATATTTAAAAAACAAACTCAATGCATTCCAGAATAGAAAAAAGTTTTAAAGATGAATATATTTAAAAATATCGATTCTCCAACACTCACATCAATTGAACATTTATTCATTTCTTTACTTGTACTTCATGACATAACTTTTCCGATCCAACTAGGCTACTTTAACGTTCGCAAAATTCAATAAATAAACCGCGCAAATAACAGCGAGCCTGATTTGTAAAACAGTTTTTAACAACACATTCCTCAAAGGAATTCGAAAACTTTGGATGAAAGCCACAATTTCCACTTCAACTTTGAAAGGAAAATGAACCAAAACTATATTTCTTATTAGCAATTTTAAACAAATATTGAAAACTTTTATGCATCAATTTGCATATAAAACTAACGGAAAAATTTTTATAAAGATAAAAAAAAAAAAAAAAAAAAAAAAAAAAAAAAAAAAAANAAAAAAAAAAAAAAAAAAAAAAAAAAAAAAAATACATAATAGACAATTTAGAAATTAAAAAAAAAAAAATCCTAAGATTTTAAAAACCTTTGAAATGCATATATAATTTCTCCTAACTTTTCTAAAACTCTTCAGATCGTAAAGAATGAATAGGGGGGGGGGCAATAATAAACAAGATTTTCATTCATTTTACAAAGAATTTAGCAGGAGAAAAAATTTATAGAAAGTTAAAGCCGCTTTGCAAATGCGTCTATTACACACAAAAAAAATTTTTTTTCTTCTTAAATGCATCTTAAAAGAATAATTAATTCAACATTTTCTTACTTCCAATAGTTACGCAATTGTTTGAGGAAATTCTTTTTGAGTATTGTAGATGTTATTGTAATTGAATAAATTAAGAATGATATTAAAACGATAATAATAAATAAATAATCGCAAGAAATTGAAGGGGTAAGATCGTTAAAAATCTTCGTTAAAAACCTGATTGTTCCTCACGACCTCTACATAGCGCGCGGAAATGCATTTCACCATGTTCTGCCCCTCTCTGCCACTATGGTATTTATTGCGGTTAATGACTTGCATTTTTCGTTGTTTGATCTTTAAAAAAATACATATTAAAGGTAGTAATTACGGAACATCCTGTTCATCCATCACCAAAGCGTTTCATTCTTACGTCTAATGAAAATGCTACACACGAGTCTCCAAAAACCCTTACTAGTTATATCAAAGGTTATTCCAGATTTTTTGAGAAAATAGGGTGATGTTTTTTGCATGCTTGAAAATAATTTTCGTATATTCAATGAACTAGGACCTTAAGTTCTACTTTAGTGAATAAACGAAAACGAGGTTCTGTTTTTGTGGGATAAAAAGGATTAGTGATGGGTTGTTTTGTGGATATAAGGAATAGTGGTATTGTTGTCCATTACGGCAGAGGGGGTGAGATTGTTCTTGTTATCCAGTGGCACCATCTGTGGCTAAGAGTTCGACTGCTGTCACACCCATACGTCACACTCGTTTATAGGGCCGACCCATTCACAAACCCATTCCACAGACCGTAATTTTAACCTGAACGATCAATCCCCAATTCAGTACCCCCAGAGGTATTGATTAGAAATGGAAACATGGAGGACTTTGTGACCCGCCAGATTTAACGTGCGCCAGCCACCCTTTACTGCATGGTGAGTTTTCGGCCGGCTAGATTCGAACTCCCGTTCTCACAAACATTAGCTCAGCGCCCTACGAACCAGGCTATCCCGGTCACAGCTGTAGTATTAAAATTATGAATTAAAAGCCATATGACTTATGAATTAAAAGTCATATGAATTTTTTGAAGAGTCAATTTTTAAAATAAAAAGTATTGTGAAGGGTTTTAAGTTAAGGCAGGGATGCCAACTTGCTCTGGACAGCAAATATATATTTAAAAGTGGTAGTTTATCAATTGTGATTCTTCGTTTAATAAATTCAATTTTGTAGAATTTTATCCACCACTATTTCTATACAATTCGTAAGGTTATATAGTTCACCACTTTATTGATAACATGTCACGCCATATCTTTCAAAAAGCAAGCAAAAATAGTCAAATATTTGCAAAAATTACTTTGTAGTTATTCACCGTTTTTAAAATTATTTTTGCGTGTCTGGAGCAGTTAGCATCTCTGAGTTAAGGAGCTATTTTAGAGATAATTTTTTTTTTTAAATGATCTGTTAACGGTACCAAATTACTCCTAAAATAACTCTTATATCGGGGAATATAATTATAAATTTTGAAAAATTTCAAAACAAATAAATCATTTAATAGATCACATACAAAATTTAATACAAATACTATTCTTAAAATTTAAAAAAAAAAGCCCATAAAGACTAGTGGAATAAATTTTCATATCAGTTTAAAATCGCTTGTCGAACAAAATAGCGAATAGAAATATTTTTCTCTCTATTCCTTTATCAAACTTAATGTGCGCAACGTAACTTCAAATAAAATCACGCAAACAAAATAAAAAGATCCATTTAAGATGAAAAAAAAAAATTCTCTAAAACGAAAAAGTTGAATATTTCAAAATTAAAAATCCTAACGAGTTTTAAAAGAGGAAGGGGGGAAAAAATCTCTGAAAAGGTTATAAATTTTTTCCGGGTTTTCTAAAACTCTTTAGGAGAAAAAGGGAGAGTTGAGCAAGGTATGAAGGGGAGAAAAAATAATAAATGAGCTTTTCATCCATTTTGGTGAAAAATTCTGGCAACAAAAATGCTAGGAGTGGGAAGACCTTTTACAATTGCGCGAATTTATTTATGGTCTAAAAAGAAATATTTCCTTTTAGATGTTAAAAGGGAGGGGAATAGCATCTTCTCTGGAATATTTTATTACTTAAACTTTTTCCCCTTTCTTAGTAAAAGTTAAATCCATCTCCGAAGATTTCAGTTAAGACTTTTATGAATGCCTGGCGTAAATATACACCGAAGATCTATTTTTAAAGCGAGAGCGATGCACCGATGTATATAAAATGATTAATTATTGAAAATGAAATATTCAGGTTTAAAAAGTGGAAGAATGCGAACGCCTCCGCCTTATTGGTTTAACCCGGAAAGAAGTTCAAAGATTAAATTATCAAGACTGAAATATCAAGTGGTTTATAAACGATAGGGAAAAATTTATCAGGTTTAAAAAGTTATTTATGGGACTGAAGGCAGCATTCGACAATAACGTAATTTAAAGAATTTCTCTTCTAAGGGATTTCCCATTAACGGTGTTTACACAATATTTCCTTTTTTTTTTATTAAAATATATGAATAATGGATTAGGAATTAAATTCTTAAAAGGACTTAAAATTAAGAATTAAATATTTGGTTCA